ATAAATGGATTTTTAAAATTTAATTACATTTAAAAAAAATAATATAGCAGCGGGAGTCACATCCTTGGTTTTGTCATGTGTCTAAGAGTTTGCTTGGAGCTTAGAAGTGTCTATGGGGTGGGGAGGGGGAGGGATCAAAAGGATGCATGTTGAGAATTGAGCATTTCCTGGAATAAAGACTGAGCTGGCAAAGGAGGGGGGTTGTTCTGGAAATAAGGACATTTCCAGGCTGAAGGCTCCAGAATAAGAGAGAGCCTAGAACAAGCTTAGAATGCCAAAGTGGCAGATGGAGGATAAAACCCACGATCCACCAGGGGACAAGTTCTAAACTAAGGCTGCACTGGGGAAAAAATGACAGAAAATGAATGGGCCTAGAACCTAGAACCGGGGGAAGGAAAACATTATGTAGAACATTTCACTGGGAATCTTTTACATTTAAGAATATGAGGCCGGGTGCAGTGGTTCACTCCTGTAATCCCAGCATTTTGGGAGGCTGAGCCGGGTGGATCATTTGAGGTCAGGATTTCGAGACCAGCCTGGCCAACATGGTGAAACCCCGTCTCTACTAAAAACACAAATATTAGCCAGGCGTGCACCACCACGTGGTGGTACACGCCTGTAATCCCAGCTACTCGGGGGGGCTGAGGCAGGAGAACTTGCTTGAACCTGGGAGGCGGAGGTTGCAGTGAGCCGAGATTGCACCACTGCACTCCAGCCTGGACGACAAAGTGAGACTCAGTCTCAAAAGAAAAAAAAGTGAATTTAGGGCCATGCACAGTGGCTCATGCTTGTAATTCCAGCACTTTGGAAGGCCAAGGTGGGAGGATCGCTTCACTCGAGATGAGCCTCAGTAACATGAGACCCAATGTCTAAACAACAATAACAGGCCAGGCACGGTGGTTCACGCCTGTAACCCTAGCACTTTGGGAGGCAGGAGAGGGATCACTTGAGGTCAGGAGTTTGAGACCAGCCTGGCCAACATAGTGAAACCCTATCTCTACTAAAAATACAAAAATAACTAGCCAGGCGTGGTGGCATGTGCCTGTAGTCCCAGCTACTTGGGAGGCTGAGGCAGGAGAATTGCTTGAACCATGAGGCAGAGGTTGCAGTGAGCTGAGGTCACACCACTGCACTCCAGCCTGGGTCACAGAGCAAGACACAATCTCAAAAATAAAATAAAAACTAAACAACAGGCCAGGCACAGTGGCTTACGCGTGTAATCCTAGCACTTTGGGAGGCTAAGGCCAGTGGATCACGAGATAAGGAGATCGAGACCATCCTGGCTAACACGGTGAAACTCCATCTCTACTAAAAATATGAAAAATTAGCCGGGCGAGGTGGCGGGCACCTGTAGTCCCAGCTACTCGGGAGGCTGAGGCAGGAGAATAGCGTGAACCCGGGAGGCAGAGCTTGCAGTGAGCTGAGATGGAGCCACTGCACTCCAGTCTGAGCCACAGAGTGAGACTCCGTCTCAAAAAAAAAAAAAAAGCTAAACAATAACAAAAAAGAATGTGCAATTAGATAGAACTTAGAAGCTAAAACAGGGAAACAGGGGAGGGCATTCTAGAATCAATAGCACGAATTAGGAAGCCTAGAGCACATACTTGGAACACACACATTTTAGAAGTTAGATTGTCCCTGGGAAGAGAATGGAATCTAGAACAATGTGGCTGAAACTGGGAACACACTTGAAATGAACATTTAGCAAAGAAGGAAGGACTGATTGCTAAAACTTTGGAGCAGGTCTGAGGATACGGTGGGATCAGAATCTGGCTCAGGGGTCTTATCTAAACATTTGAAAAAACAAAGGCTGGGCACAGTGGCTCACGCCTATAATCCCAGCACTTCGGGAGGCCGAGGCAGGCGATCACCTGAGGTTGGGAGTTTGAGACCAGTCTGACCAACATGGAGAAACCCCGTCTCTACTAAAAATACAAAAAATTAGCCGGGCTTGGTGGCGGGCCCCTGTAATCCCAGCTACTCAGGAGGCTGAAGCAGGAGAATCACTTGAACCCGGGAGGTGGAGGTTGTGGTGAGTCAAGATTGTGCCATTGCACTCCAGCCTGGGCGACAAGAACAAAACTCCGTCTCAAAAAAAAAAAAAAAAAAAAAGGAAAAGACATGCCTAGAATTTGGCATCTGGCCTAGAACTCAGACCATGCCTGGAATGAAAATGGAACACAGAACAGACATCAACCGGGAGTGTTCTTGTGTTTAGAAGGAATCTAGAACATGGAGCAAAGCAAGAGCACATGTGCAACAAGAAATGTGACCGGGCTGGGCGCGGTGGCCATGCCTGTAATCCCAGCACTTTGGGGAGCCGAGAGAGAAGGATCGCTTGAGCCCAGACCAGTCTGGGCAACATGGTGAAACCCCCATCTCTACCAAAAAAAAAAAAAAATGAGACGGAGTTTCACTCTTGTTGCTCAGGCTGGAGTGCAATGACTTGATCTCAGCTCAATGCAACCTCCACCCCCTGGGTTCAAGCGACTCTCTCCTGCCTCAGCCTCCTGAGTAGCTAGGATTACAGGCATGTGCCACCACACCTGGCTAATTTTGTATTTTTGGTAGAGACAGGGTTTCTCTTTGTTGTCCAGGCTGGTCTCAAAATCCTGACCTCAGGTGATCCACCCACTTCAGCCTCCCGAAGTGCTGGGATTACCAGCATGAGCCACCACACTTGGCCAAAAATATTTTTTTTAATTAGCCAGGCCTGGTGGTGCATGCCTGCGGTCCCAGCTACTCAGGAGGCTAAGGTGGGAGGATCACCTGAGCCCAGCAGGTGGAGGCTGCAGTGAGCTGTGATTGTGCCACTGCACTCCAGCCTGGGCAACAGAGACCTTGTCTCAAAAAAAAAAAAGAAAAAAGAAAAGAAAGAAAGAAATTTGTATAGCAGCAGGTAACTTCTATGAGCCCAGGCCACAGAATATATCTGGAGGAAGTGATGTGTGTTCGGCTTATTGGCCTGGGAGAGTGTACTTGGAGAATGGGAACTCATCTGAGCCTCAGGGGGCAATGGAGTGCTAGAAACATCTCAAGAAGCTGCGTCTTAGGGGAGAGAGTCCTGAAGCCCACCGCTTGGGGTGACATGAGGATGAGACGGGTTTGTTAAGGCCACGGGAGATGTGAAGTTGATGGGGCAGAGTGATAAGGCTGTGAAGACTTGGTTCCTAAAAGTGAGAGCTGAAGAACCAGATAACTGCTGGGGAGGGCAGTGGACAGAGCTGGGAGCCTAGACTCCTGAATCCATGTGGAGGTAAATGATGGGGGATTGGAAGCTGAGAGCCTGAGGTCTTGTTTGGAGAGAGGGTTGAGGCAGACAGCCTCGGTAAAAGCTGGTGGGCAGTACAGAAGCTGGGGTCTGAACTCCTGGGACCCTGAGGGTATACAAGACTGGGACCAGGACATTTAGGTCCCCAAGCGGGGAGTGTGAACAGAAGTCAGAAGTCAGAGAACTGCATTAAGAATCACATTCCGGGTCCCCCAAAGGAAGCGAGTCATGGCGCCTGAGTCCCTCAGGGAGCAGATGCTGGGTGCCAGGAGATTGAGTCTGTGTGTCTGCAGGGCACAGGGGCTGAGAAGCAGAGCAAACGCTGGGGAACAGGATTCCTAGGTTCTGACGGGGTGAGGGCTACCACCTGGGGCCAGCAGAGGTGTAGGCACGGACAGGTGGGAGCTGCATGCCCGGGTGCCATGGTCCCCACGGCGACCAGAACAGAAAAATTCAGAAGCCCTGGCTCCTCAGGGAGCAGCTGGAGTCCCAGGAACCTGGGGTGCCGAGGACCGGGCCAGGAGCCTGGCCGGCGGAACCCTGAGGCCGGGGCGCCCGGGTCGGGGAGGGCCCGGGTATTCCCGGGTCAAAGGCGCGGCGGGGGAGATCCCCGCGCCGCCTGCACCCCCTCCCTGGTGGCGGCGGCGGCCGGTGGGGGGAGGCGAGGCTGCCGAGCGCGCTGACCATGGACAGCTCCAGAGCGGGCCTGTGTCCAGGGCGGCCGCCGAGCCTGCCTGGACCGAGGGAAGCGGCCGGCTGTGCAAGCCCGAGGCTGGCGACGGGAGACTGGGTGCGCGAAGCGGGGACTATGCGGACGCGCCTGGGGAGTCTGGGACCGCCGCGGCGGGTGTCTGGAGCTCCCAGGACAGGGTCAGGAAGGGGGATCTAGGCTTGAGAGGGGTCCCGGGGCCGGACCGGGAAATCCAAGCTCCTGGGCCCTGGAGGAGGCGCGAGGCGGCGGTGCGCCCGGGATTCTAGGGTTCGGTCGCGGACTCTGGGAGCCGGGAGGGGCACGCCTGAGTCCCCGGGGTTGGGCTGTGAAATCTGGGCTTGGGGGTCCCCTGGGATGAGGAAGGGAATCCGGGATCTCGGGGAGGCGGGGGAGGCTCGCCAAGGGGTCCCCGGGGTGGGCGCTGCCAGGAGGGCCGGGCCAGGATCTTACCTGCCTGGTCCGCGGCGGCTGCGGGCGGAGCTGGGCTGCAGGAGGGACGTGGGGTGGAGTGGAGGGGCCGGGCGGGGCCCCTGGCAGCGGCCGGGGCCCGGCTCTGTCGCTTCGGAGCCCTGGAGCCCTGTCTCCGACGCTCGCGCGGGCTCCGCGTCTCTGGCTCCGGCTCGGGCGCTGGGGACCCCCCTCCCCCTCACGGTCTCACTGCCTTCTACCCCCAAAATAGCCCCCTGCCCCTGTCACTGATCAGCCTCCCCCTGCGAGGCCGCAGCCGCCAGATCCAGGGGTGCCCACCAGCGCCCCCCAAATCCCACCTTCCCCCCCAAAAAATTCCTCCTCCCTCCCCCTCCCCCCCACGGCTCCCGGGCGGTCGTGGCCCCTTTAACAGGAGACTGACAGACGGCGACGAGCGGCCAATGGGAGGCAGCGTCGGCGCCGGCCGGCGACTAGACCCCGCCTCCACACCGGCCGGGAGGGGTCGCGCGGGCGGAGAGCGAGAGGCGGGGCATAAGGCGCGTCGACCAATAGGCGCGCGGCGTGCGGCGGCTGGGGCGGGGGGCGGAGCCCGGCAGGGGGATGATGTCACCTGGAGCGAGTAGCGCGCAGCGTGGAACGGGAGTCGCGACCTCGGCTCCCGGCTGTGGCGCGCCTTAGCCCTCGCGCCGCACGGGACACGAGGGCTGGGCGGGCAGCGGGATGGGGCTAAAGGTTGGATTTCAAGGCGGGGGCAGCTTCCGGAAAGACGCGCTCTGGTTGGAAGGTGGAGTGAGCGCCCGGTGGGCGAGGGCACCTCACTCTGCACCCCTGCGCCCGCCTCGGGAACTGCACGCGGCACCCCCACCCGCGACTCCCACGCAGACGGTAGTGCGGCCTGCAGGGTTCCCCCGGCGGACGAGGCTAATGGTTCGCTCCGCCCCGCCCACACAGAGGCCGCCCACTGGCTCCGGCTGCGTTTCAGGACTCTGGAGGAAGGGACTTGGCCTTCGCCCTCAGACGCTCTTAAGGGTAGGCGGCGTTGTCCTCAGTTCTGCCCCTGCACTCAGACCCAGACTGGGTCCCGGCCTCCGCCCCCGGACTAGTCCCTTGGAAGCCGGCCTATCTCCGCCTTCAGACCTAGGGAGAGGTCTCAACCTCTGTCCTCAGACTCTGAAAAGGGCTTCTCAAGGGCTTGGCCTGACCTCAGCTCCTCGCATTCCCTCCACATCTCAAGACACCAACCCAGGGATGCAGGACAGACACACAGACACTCAGTGAGGGTAAAAGACCTTTAAATAAAGTGCTAGGGACAATAAATACTGTACAGGGAGAGAATGCGTGTGAGCGTCCAGATCTGTGGTTTCAGCCTCGAGACTCCAAGGACCTGCAAGGAGGGTGGAGAAGGGACCCGGGATCAGGGGGGCTCCGGGTCATGAGAGAGGCAGGACTGGGGTTGCAGAGTCAAGGGCCCGGGGAAGTGGGCTGAGGGATCCCAGCCACAGTAGGTTCCATATCTTGGGATGGAAGGAAGCTAAGGGGTCCCCAGGGGATTTGGCCAGAATAGCCTGGGGTGAGAGGCTGGGCCAGGGGTCAAGGGTCAGCATCCCAGAGAAGGGGCCAGGGTCGGAAGGTCCAGGAAGAATTGGCCTGGTTTGGGAGCCTGGGGTTAAAGGGAGCCAGTGGAGGCCCCAGAGATGTGGTGACCCAGGGACTCACGAGTAGCTTTGGTGCTGCTGGCGCCGGCGGGCAGAGCGCATCTTCTCGAACCGGGCCTCCATCTCCTCCAGCACTCGCGGCGTGTAACGGACGACCAGCTTCACCGAGCCCTGGGCCGCCTTCAGCAGCTCCACCGCCTTCTCATGCTGCTCACCCTCAACGCTCTGCAGGGCCCAACACAGACAGCTGGGCCTGAGGCCCACTGCCCTCACCCAGCCCCCACTGGGAGATGGGACCCACTGCTGGTGAGCCTGGTGCCAGCCCTGAGATGCCAACACCTCATGTCCTCCTCGTGGGAGAGTCATTAACTCCTGGTTCAGTGTCCTCCTCCAAAACCTCCCAGGTTTCCCATGTCAGGGACAGCCCCATGTTCCCTCAGTCCCTGATCAAACATCTAGACCCATCTTTGTGGCTTCCCTGCCCACAGCCCACTAATGCCTGCCTGCTTTGACTCTCTCTTCTTTGTCCCCACAGCCCTGGGCCAGCTCAGGCCTTGTCCCCTTTCCTTGGACTCTTAGCCCAGCCTTCTGGCTTCTAGTCTCTCCCCTCAGTTCATCTCCATAGGGTCCCAGAGGGGTCCTTCTGTACCTGCAAGCTGAGCTTATCCCTGGCTCACCCCTCCCGTAGCTCCCCAGCACCCATGGGACAAAGTCCCAGCTTCTCAGGCTGGCACTCAGGTCCTGTATGGCTGACCCCAGCCACTTCTCCAGTTATGCCTTCCTCAACTCTAACCACAGTGATTTTTTGTTTTTTGTTTTTTTTTGAGAGGGAGTCTTACTCTGTCACCCTTGCTGGAGTGCAGTGGCACTATCTCGGCTCACTGCAACCTCTGCCTCCCAGGTTCAAGTGATTCCCCTGCCTCAGCCTCCCAAGTAGCAGGGATTACAGATGACTGCCACCACGCCCGGCTGATTTTTTGTACTTTTAGTAGAGACGGGGTTTCACGATGTTGGCCAGGCTGGTCTTGAACTGCTGACCTCAAGTGATCCACCTTCCTCGGCCTCCCAAATTGCTGGGATTACAGGTGTGAGGCACCACACCCAGCCTAACCACAGTGATTTTAATTACCTGCATGCCGCAGACCTCCATCAGAACTAAGCCCTTTCTTTTCAGCTCAGAGGTATGCCAAGTCATTATCCTTATCTACAGTACCCTCAGCAGGAACACCCTTTACCTTGTTTGCCTGGAGAACTCCTACTCATCCTTCAACACCCAACCCAAATGTTCCTTACTCTGCAAAACTTTCCTGTATCTATGTTGGCCTGGTGCCACATCTGGGCTGTCACAGTACTTTGCAGTTCCTCATTATTATGTCTCTGGCTTAGGACTATTTCAGCCGAGGCCTACTGCCCTCCCCAGAGAGGGAAGGTTGAGTGTAGGAGCTGAGACCAACATCTCTCAGGGTCTGTAACACTGGCCAGCACAGGGCTAGCCATAGAGGCAGAGCTCAGTCAGTGTGTGAGTGAATGTCAAAAGCAGGGGCTATGCTACCTTAGACAGACTGTGTCCCGCAGTCCTGCCTCAGCCCTCCACTCACCACACCGTTCACCGACAACAGTTGGTCCCCACGCTTGAGGCCTCCATGGCGGTCAGCCACACCCCCCGGGATGACCCGGGAGATGTAGATGGGCGAGTTCTGCTCTTTGCCACCCATGATGTTGAAGCCGAGGCCCTCATCCGTCTTGGGTAGCTCCACTACCCTGGGATGTGCGTGGCCCTCGCTGGCTGTGAAGGCAGCCACTGTGGCCTGGGAGAGAGAAAGCGACTGAAGATGAGGGCCCCTGCCAGGTGGGCAAGAAGGCTGGGGTGGGGGATCTGAACCGAGGACAGCGATTTAGCCTGGGTTACTATCCCCAAACATGGGACACGTGCCATGGCACAATGCAAGATCCCCCTGTAATGACTGTGCGTCCCTTTCTGTTCACTTGCAAGAGAAAGTGTCCATTTGGTGTGTGTCTTGAATACCCCATACTTGCCAATCTTTTTTTTTTTTTTTTGAGATGAAGTCTCACTCTGTTGCCCAGGCTGGAGTGCAGTGGCATGATCTTGGCTCACTGCAACCTCGGCCTCCTGAGTTCAAGCGATTCTCCTGTCTCAGCCTCCCAAGTAGCTGGGATTACAGGCACCTGCCACCACGATCGGCTTTTTTTTTTTTTTTTTTTGAGACGGAGTCTCGCTCTGCCGCCCAGGCTGGAGTGCAGTGGCCGGATCTCAGCTCACTGCAAGCTCCGCCTCCCGGGTTCAAGCCATTCTCCTGCCTCAGCCCCCTGAGTAGCCGGGACTACAGGCGCCCGCCACCGCGCCCGGCTAGTTTTTTGTATTTTTTTAGTAGAGACGGGGTTTCACCGTGTTAGCCAGGATGGTCTCGATCTCCTGACCTCATGATCCGCCCGTCTCGGCCTCCCAAAGTGCTGGGATTATAGGCTTGAGCCACCGCGCCCGGCCTTTTTTTTGTATTTCTATAGAGATGGGGTTTCACCATGTTGGCCAGGCTGGTCTCGAACTCCTGACCTCAAGTGAGCCACCTGACTCGGCCTCCCAAAGTGTTGGGATTATAGGCGTGAGTCACCGTGCCTGGCCGCAATCTTACTTTTAAACAGAGGAAAGCCAGGCTTGGAGGGAGATCCGAGCCTCTGGGCAGCAGCAAGAGGTAGCATCTCACTATTGTGCAGTGAGAGATCAGAGCGCCATGACTTCCCTGGTTTGCACTGTACAGATGTTGAAGGTTATCTTCTAGCCAGTCATGCCACACTGGTTTCCATGTGCAGTTGCTAAAGACGCCTTCGTATGACATTTAAGTTAAAAATGTGCGATTATTTAATAATGGTAAGAGTGGCACATAGATTTAGCAAAAATCATGAGGGAGGAAACAGAAATGACTGGCATGAAGGAGATACTGAGCTCGACCAGGCAGTTAAATAGACACCAGGAGCAATGAGGTGCGGGGCCCACCTTGGCTGTGGCATGGGCTCGGATTTCGGCGCTGCCAGTGATGTCCAGCGTGTCATAAAGCTGCTCATACACCTGGGTGAGGAGGCAGCGGCATCAGGGAGCTGCCAGTTCCTCCAGCCCTAGACGCAGGAGTCCGGGCCCCTAGACCCTCTCCCGCTGCCACGCAAGGATCCGCCCCGCCCCCGCAACCGGAGCCGGAGGAAACTACAACTCCCGAGGAACCACTGAGCTGAAGCGTGGGCACCCCAAGGCTGGCCGCCTCGGGAGCTGCCGGGAGGCGTAGTCCCCGGGCTCGGGACTAGCAGGAGGAGGAGGAAGAGGACGGCGGCCACCAGCTCGCGCCCTTGCGCCGCGCGCCGCTCACCTCTCGAATAGCGGAGCAGAAGCGGCTCTGCAGGACTCGCTGGAGGGCCTGCAGCTTCTGCGGGGGCAGCTCCCCGCTGCGCTGGAGCCGCTCGAGGAGCTCAACCGCCCGGGACACGTCTGCGGGGCGGGGGCGGGGCGCAGAGACCCCGAGACGCAGAGAAGCAAGGAGAGCGGCGGAGTGAGGCCGAGCGTACAGTCCGGGGAGGACCGCCGAAGCCCAGTCGGACACCCCGCAGAGTCCAGGGTGGCGCAGGAGAGACCGCCACCAGCCGAGCGCCCTGCAGCCCCAGGACCCCTCCACAGGCCGGGGTGTAAGGCGGGCGCCCCCCGCCCCGGCCTGGGCTCAGGGAGCCTCCCACACCCCGCGACCGCCCGGCCCCGGCGCCCGCCCCGCCCACCCCGCCGGGTCCGCTGGCCCACCCGCACTGGCCTGGCCTGGGAAGGGCGGGGACCGGGGGCTGGATATGCAGGCCGCGGCCCGGGTGGGCAGGGCCCCCTGGCGCGCGCTTACCCCGCTCCAGCCCCAGCGGCTCCACCAGCGCAGCCATGTCGGCGCCACAGCTGCCAGCGGCCCGCCTGCCCCGGCGCGGGCGAGGAGGGCGGGGCTGCGCGAGGCCACGCCCCGGGCCACGGGCGCCCCCTGCGGAGGCGCAGCCTGGAGAGCGCCCAGCTCCCCCGCGCCGGACTGTCCCGACCCCCCTGCCGCGCGCCACCCGCAGCCCTGCCCTCCGTCCCGGCCAGTCAGTCCTGTTGGCGACTCCTCCCATTGTAGGTTCGGTCTGTGTTTCTCTTTCAGGATCAGTGTCTGCCTGCCCTCCACAGCTGTCTATCCCCTGTCCATTCTTTTCCCACATTCATTCAACAAACTCCTGTGAAACATCTGGGCCCAAGGCATGGACACTGTGGTGAGCAGGACAGCCAAGCCCACGGCCCGAACGGAGCTTCCAGTCTATGGGAGAGGTAGACCACCAGCCACGGCTGTAATGAGAGCTGAGAGTGGGGAGGTAAGGATCTAGAAGACGAAGGAGATCCTAGAGCAGGGACATTGACATACAGTCCTGGGAGGTAAGATGAACAAGAGGTGGAGCTTGGGTCACCCCTACCACGCAGAAAGAGCCCACAGGGCTGGAAGCAGAGTTAGGATTGGTTGATGATGAGGTGAAAAGGCCGGGAGGATACAGTTTATGCCTGGGCTGCTGCGTTGGCATATGCGCCTTGAGGATTTGGGGCTTCATGCAGACTCCTAAGAGTAAAATATGACACTCAAATTTGTATTATTATTATTATTATTATTGAGACGGAGCCTCGCTCTGTCGCCTAGGTTGGGTCTCAGATTTGTATTTTAAGATCACTGGGGCCCGGCGCGGTGGCTCACGCCTGTAATCCTAGCACTTTGGGAGGCTGAGGGGGGCGGATAGCCTGAGCTCAGAAGTTCGAGACCAGCTTGGGCAACATGGTGAAACCCCGTCTCTACGAAAATACAAAAAAAGTAGCCGGCATGGTGGTGTGCGCCGGTACTCACAGCCACACGAGAGTCTGAGGCAGGAGAATTGCTTGAGCCCAGGAGGCGGAGGTTGCAGTGAGCCGAGATGGCAACTGCACTCCAGCCTGACAGAACGAGACTCCATCGCTTAAAAAAAAAAAAAAAAAAAAAAAAAAAAAAAAGAGCTCTGGGCAGAGCAGGCGCTGTGTCTCAGGCCTGTAATCCCAGCACATAATCCCAACACTTTGGGAGGTTGAGATGGGAGGATCACTTGAGCCCAGGAGTTTAAGACCAGCGTGGACAACATGGTGAAACCCCATCTCTCCAAAAAAATACAAAAATTAGCTGGGCCTGGAGGCGTGTGCCTGTAGTCCTAGCTGCTCTGGAGACTGAGGTGAGAGGATCGCTTGGGCCCAGGAGGTCGAGGCAGGAGTGAGCTCTGATCACACCACTGCACTATACCTGGGTGAAAGAGTGAGTCCCTGTCTCAAAAAAAAAAAAAAAAAAAAAATCACTGGGCTGAGTGCAGTGGCTCACACCTGTAATCCTAGCACTTTGGGAGGCTGCATGCAGCGAGAGGACTGAGCCCAGGAATTCAAGACCAGCATGGGCAATATAGTGAGACTGCATATCTACTGGGAAAAAAAAAAAAAATCACTGTAGCCACTATGGAGACTGGTTTGGACAAGAACAAGACGAGAAGCAGCGGGGCAGCTTAGGAGGGTACCACAGCCATCCCAGTGGCAGCTGGCACCAGGGCCAAGGCATAGAAGATGGGTGGGCAGATGTGGAAAATGTCTGGACAAGCCTTGGTGCTTGGCTATATATGGGGATTGAGAGGTGCAGGAGAAGACAGTATTGAGGTGCTTTGGTGCCATTTTTAAGATGGTCTACACTGAAGGAGAGATACTGGATATTTTGTCTGTTTTCAGAGGCAGAGTCTTCCCTCTGTTGCCCAGACTCAGTGGCAGTGGCGCAAGCTCAGCTCATTGCAACCTCTGCCTCCCGGGTCAAGTGATTTCTCCTGCCTCAGCCCCTGAGTAGCTTGGACTACAGACGCGCACCTCCATGCCTGCCAAATTTTTGTATTTTTTTATTTTTCGTAGAGAGGGGGTTTCCCCATGATGGCCAGGCTGGTCTCGAACTCCTGACCTCAAGTGATCCACCCACCTCAGCCTCCCAAA